TTACTAGGTAGAGCAGATACTCCTGCACTCATACTAGATAGAGGTAGGTCATGTTCAGGTAAGTTGGTCAGACTGTCATTGCCACTAAAGAGAGAACTTTCATTTGTATTTTGTTTTGCTAAAGCCACATTGGTCGAGGGTTGTGGTTCTTGAGATGTAACAGACCCATTTGTGACTTCAACATCAGTAGTAGATTTTTGGATTCGAGCTAACTCATCCAGTATGACTTTTTCAAAGTTTACCCCAACAAGTTTAGCCATACCTTGTAGCTCAGTGAGATAACGCTAGTTATGCTAGAACCTCTATCTGTAGCATACAACTCTGATAATAGCTGAATGTTATGGACAATATTAGGATCACTGCTTGGTCTGTCGCAGGGTAAGCTCTCCTGTAAAAACTCAATAGCTTGACCGGATTTGAATTCAACTATGGCAGAATCCTTAAACTGTGGATCTTGACTAGTTATTTTGACAACCCTCTCGACGGCACCTATTTCTGATAAATAATGTTAAACCAACAAAATACATTGACAACTTAAATATGCAATGCATAACTTGTATAAGTTAATAAAAATCAGCGTTAGACTGCATAACATATCAGGCATATCAGTGGTTAAGCTGGATCCTGCCGAAACAAGATTCGGGAACTCCCTCATTATCACCTTGTGCGTTCCGGCAACTGTTCGCTCAGATCCGGCAGCTCATATCTCCGCTCATAAAAGTCCAAAGTCATCTCGCATTTTTGTTTTGATTATTTATTAAAAATACAATGAGAAGAGACGCTGTCCATGTCTGTGGAGTGGATGTTACTGCTGCAGCAGGCGCACCAGCTCGCGCACACGCTCCTGCCCAGCAGAGACGCTGACCGCATGAAGCGTCTTCATCCACCTTCAGCTTCGTCTCAAAAACCAAAGCAGCACAAACAAAAATTTTAATGGCACAAACCAGCACAAACGGCGCACTAGTCATTCATTGTATTTACTGGAAATTTTGACGTGGGTGGGGTGTCAGCTTCACCAAGATCAGCTGTGCGCCCTGCAGACAGTGCACGTTTTACACACAGGAGCATCTCCAGACAGCTCTGCGGAGCGCGCACAACTGCTAATCTGTCAGAACTCCTGCAGACATTTCAAAGATAATAAATAAAAAAGCTGCAGTAAAAAAAATACGAGTGAAATGTTTGATGTGTGTTATTCACATTACATCACGTTCACGTTTCAAAATTAGTCAAAATAACAACAACTGTGCATGTCGGTCGCAGAAAGAAACAGCGATCACGTCTTGTTGTGCTGTAGGTTGCACCAAACGTTTTGATAAAAACAATAAAACGTGCAAGTTTTACAGAATTCCTTCAACTCGCACCCCTTTCAAGGCTAACAGGAGACGTCTTTAATTGCAAGCTGTCAGAAGAAGCGATTGGAATGAGCAGATGATTAAAAATGCAACAGTCTGCAGCGAGCACTTCATCTCAGGTAAGGGCTGCCTAGCTAACAAGCATCGCTGGTTACTGCGTCCTATATACAAAACTATGAACAACTGATCACTCACATACTAGTGCACCTAGCTTACAAGCTAAGATATCTTAGTTCAGTGATGCTGAGTGGAGTTGCTAATCATTTATTTATTTATTTATTTTTATTTACAAATTTATTAATTTAATTAAAAAATTAAATAACTATATACAATAGAAAATAAATATATATATTCAATCAAAAAACAAAATGAAAGGCAGCAGAAGAAGAATAAATCTTATGATATCTGCCCCTTTTTTCCTAGAATATATTCAAAACTAAAGTAATTTACCACATAACAAAGCTAAATAAAAACAACATCAACTCAAACAACAATTTGTATAGATACACATTATACTTTACCATATTCCTTCAGAAAACTAATTTTTTACATTTTCTTAAATATGTACATAGATCTGTCAGTTTTAACATCATCCTTCAGACCAGTCCTGTTCCCTGAACCATAGTAGTCTGCTCCTTCAAACTGGTACGAAACCAACACTTCACAAACATCTTTATCCCCTAAAGATAATAACTCTCCCTTTTAACAAAATTTACTTGAATATTTTAAGGTAGTATGTTTTTGTGAGTCTTATACATGAACAGTAAAATATTATAATCAACCAAGTCATAGAATTTTAATATCTTCAGTTGATAAAACAATGTATTTGATGGATATCTATAATATTTTCTACTGATGATTCTTACAGCTCTTTTCTGTAAAATAAAAATAGGATTTGTAATTGTTTTACATACTTTACCCCAGACTTTAATACAGTAAATTAAGTGTGGGACAATTATTGCGTTATACAACATAAACATTATCATTGAGTAACTCCCTTACTTTGTACAGTACTGCAATATATTTAGATATTTTTGTTCTTAAATTATTTACGTCAGGTTTACATGTTAGTTTTTCATCAATGATGACACCCAGAAACTTGTTGTTACTGTTTAAAGTTGTATGCTAACACATGCTATGCCAGTTAGCGCTGGCCAACCGTGTCCGTGTGCTGTTTTCATTAACGTCAGTCACAGGAATACACTCTATTTGTACAGGAGTGGACTCTGAAGACTTCGACAGTCCTGACTTTGTCACGTCCATCTCCTCCTACTCTACAAAGTCCGGCAAAGACAGCGATGGAAAATTGGAGCGGTAAATAGAGAGATACTGAACTGAGGCTGTAATAAACCTGTGATTAACAAAGTAAAGTGATGCTTTCCTGCTGTGCCTAATGATGGCTCTCTTCTGTGTCTCAGCTACAAGAGAAAAAGACGAAGAGATGAAACCCCCAGCAGATGTCCAAACAATGGACCATCTATTGGCTATCCTCATGAAAACTGTGTTTAGGGCTCACCAACAATAATATTACATTCAGATTTAATGTTACTGAATGTGACATTTCCAACATTTTGAGAAGTTGGTTGGCTCCTTGTTATGTCTCAGACTTTGAAACCTCTAATCTATTAGATGACGTTGTAACTGTGTGTGCAGCGTTAACAAACATTTGGGACTGTATAGTCCCTAGAAAACAAACTGTAAATGTCTTGTTCAAGTTTTCAAGAGTTAAGGATACATCAAATAAATTGTATTTCTTGTTTGTACATAAGTAATGCCATTAAAAAGTAACACCAAAATAACCATTTCTTTTTTTTGTAAACGTGCGCACAGTGATTTAAAGGAAAAAGTTAAAACTGAATGTTAACAGGAAAAGTTACAATAAATGATTTGTGTCAAAGTGGATTGTTATTAGCTTCTTTCTTTTACAATATTACTTTGTATGAATAACTGTTCATGTATGTGGAGGACTGTGTTCATCATTTGATCATCTCTGGCTGCACCAGTGGATCCTGCTGGGTCCACATCACAAAGTGGCAGGACTGGACGCCACACACTGTGAAGCTGAACTTCATAATAGTATTCATGGTTCTTCTTGAGATGTAATGAGCAGTACCTACTCACCTTTTCAACATCATGTAATAAAATGTATAAAATAAAAAATAAAATAAAAATAACGCGCACAGAGGCGGGTCTGACCCTTTTCAATGTGCATTTCTCAGTAAAACGAGTCACATAATCTGTCAGGGTTGTAACTTTCATTTTAATTGACAAGTCCTGGTAATAAATAAATAAATAAATAAATATAAAACCTCAAATAAGCAACAAATAAACCTGGTCTTGTGTGTGGGTTTTCTTACAGTTTTGTTTTGTTTTTTGTTTGTGTGATTTTTATTTTTTTAATAACCGAGCGAAAAAATGTCTTTTTTTAATAAAACTTGTCCTGTTCACTTTAGCCTGACAAATATCAGTCAGCCACCAAGACATGGAGTGCATTTATAGTTTTTAAAACCAAGAAATCTATTAGAAGAGCTGTGAAGATGGACGCCTCTGTGTGCCCTCTTGATAAAGGGGAACAGAATTTCGCACAACACCGGTTCTTTCTGCACTTCGGCTGCGCGCGCACCCACCGTGTCGATACACAAATAATCCGTCTATTCTTTAAGGGAAACATCAACCACCTTACAGAAATGTTTCAAAATACTCCATGTTTTATTATTTGATTCATGAATTAGTCAATATTTTTGAGCTTTCTCAGCTTGAAATGAAAATATCTCATTTAAATTATAAAATTGTTTTAAAAGCCTTTAGGTGAAAAAAACAAACAAACAAAAAAAAACTCCACATTTCAGCTTTTTTGTTTATTTGTTGTTAAACTGACCGAAAATATTTTTTATGGCAGTTTGTGAGTAAAGAAAGTAATTTTCCTCTTAATATGCTCAAAAGGATTTTTTTTGGTAACTTTTTAAAGATTTAATTTAAGAGTTTTTGAAGACCCTCCAGCCCCCCTGGACCCCCCAGAACCGTTAGTTGAAAATGATGCCGTGTTTTTGATAAATGTGCACGTGTTGCTCGATGGTCAGACATGGAGGTTTTGTTTTCCTGAAAGTCTCCTCGCGTACGACACCAGTTTGTGTTTCGTTACGTAGTTCTTCTACTGAAGCAGATATTTTAGCAGCTGCTGCATCAACGTCCTGCTTTGAGGGAAGTCAACAGACTCTTCTGTCTGCGTGCACGTGGAACAGGTTCTTCATACTAAATGTCGACTTGCGCACAATAAAACTCTTTTTGCTCTTTACACTCAACTAAAACCATTTTGTGGGACGAGACGAGACTCGGCAGCAGCGTCCAGCTGGGAACGGCTGGTTGTCCCTGATGAACACTAAAGGGCCGTAAAGTTACTGTGAGCTTACAGGAGCATTTCTAACTATTCTGACAAAAATAAAAGACTTTACAAGGATTTTTAGACTTTGTCAGGAACATCTGTGGTTCTTGACAGCACCAAAATAAAACATTGAAATGTGGGGCTGATTTTAGACCATCAAAGGGTTAAGTGAATGAAACATTTACAAATGAAGAAATTGTGAAGGATCAGGGAATGATTTGAGTTGGACAAACAGAGAAAATCTCCAACAGCTGCAGTAAACTGACCTCAGAACCTCCAGTCTACAGTTTGGACTCTCCAGGAAACCACAGAGCTCCTTCACTCCAGAGTCAGACAGCTGGAGGTTCTGACTGAGGTCCAGTTGTGTCAGATGGGAGGGGTTGAACTTCAGAGCTGAGCCCAGAGAAGAACAGCTGATTTCTGACAACCAGCAGCTCCTCAATCTGAATAAAGAATAAAAGATGTGAGCCGAAGCCAACAGGATGCAGGTTCAAACTGAAATATAAACTAAATGATTGAAGTGGACAGAATTAGTTTTACTGGATGTTAGAGACACAAAATATTATTTGACACTATTTACATATCTTCAAAAACAAAAATTTTTTTGTCATGGATCTGGTCAGCTGGACTTTCAACGCAACTGATAAAATCTTTTCAACAAAGCGACAGGGTCCTGGAGAGCCCTCGTGCCCCACTGAGACACACGCGGCAGGATTCTTCATGGATCTGTGGTGAGTTTGGGCGCTGATGTACCTTTCATGTTAGAATGTCACAGCTGATCAGACCCTCAAGGCAAAACTGAGGAAGGACAGTTAGAGCAATCTATAAAACATCACAATAAACAAATAGATAGTCATGATGTAACCTTACAAAAAATTATCTCACAAAAACAGACCATGCAGACTAACCTCCAACAGCTAAGTGGGATGTTTTTTCCCCATTGAACCGAAGTTGAATAACTGGGGGTCATCTCCCAAGAGACCCCAGATGCCGGGTCTCGTGGAGCTCTCCGCTCTGCCAGCTCCAACCTCCTTTCGGGAACCTTACATTCGCACCTCTGAGTGCTTTGAAGGTAACACAATTAAATGGAGTGGTTTTCTACTACAGTGCAAGCTCGTTTTCAACAGAGCCCCCATAACTTACTCCTCAGATGCCTCCTGTATTACCGTCATAAACAGCGCTTTGAAAGGTGAAGCTCTTCGATGGACCCGTTCCTACTTGCACAGACGTTCAATCAAATCATTAATGTTTGCTTCATTAATGACTTTTGACAGGTGTTTGACTTACCTCTTCAACAGGAGGAAGCAACTCAAAAGATGTTTTCGCTGAAACAAGGAAACCGGTCGGTGGCAGAGTTAGCCATTCACTTCCGCATCTTGGCAGAGGAATGTGAGTGGGGTGAGAGGGCATTCAAAGGAGCGATCATCAACGCCTTGAACAAACCGATAAAAGATCAACTCGCCACTCGTGAGGCTCCCCCCAGATCTCAACCAACTCCTCCTCACCACAAGAATTGATAACCGTTTCTGAGACCACATCATGGAAGAGATCTACTTTGCTTGTGAGTACCCTGACTCTGGAAGTAATTCATTTGCTCCCACTTCTAGTCCGGCTAACCCCAAACCCATGCAAATTGGAAGGACCCGTCTCTCTCCAGAAGAGCGACAATGCCAGATATCACACAATGAGTGCCTTTATTGTGGTCCGAGAGGACACAATCTTTCTTCTTGTCTGCTTCGTTTAAAAGGGAAAGCCCACCAGTAAGACGGGAGATTCTGGTGGGTACTTCTTCTTTTTCTCCTGAATGTAATTTATGCTTGCCAACTATTTTGTGTGTTAATACCACAAATTTCCCCATCCAGGCTCTAATTGATTCTGGTGCTGAACAGAACCTGATCAAGAGTCTGCAGATCCCCATAACCATGTTAAACCCAACTGTCGCTGCAGTGGCCCTCACTGGACAAACCATCTCATCCATTAACCAAAGAACTAATAAAATTAAGTTTGTTGTCTCAGGAAATCATCACGAGATGGGTGTTTTTTTATTTTTGACTCCCCCAAACCACAACTAATTTTAGGTTACCCTTGGTTGAAAAAAAAAAAAAACACAACCCTCTCATTAATTGGACAGAAGGTAGGGATGAGAGATGGGGCGAGTACTGCTCAGAAATTTGTTTGCGTTTGGCCATCTCCCCTGTGGTCTGTGAAAAGAAAACCCAAGAAAAGTTTTACCTTTCTAAGGTTCCACAAATTTATCATAGCCTGGCTCCGACATTTAGTAAACAACAAGCGTTGTCTTTACTACCACACAGACCCTACAACTGTCCCATAGATCTCCTTCCAGGGGCCCCTCTGCCATATAGCAGATTATACAATCTGTAGGGTCCCGAGAAGGAGACTATGATACAGTACATAAATGACTCTTTAAAGTTGGGCATCATTCGCCCCTCCACCTCTCCTGTTGGAGCAGGGGTTTTCTTTGATGCCAAAAAAGACAAATCCCTCAGACCCTGCATCAATTTCAGAGGCCTAAATCAGATCACGGTGAAGAATAAATATCTGTTACCCTTAATGGATTCTATGTATGAACAGCTCCAGGATGCTGTTATCTTCACCAAACTCGACCTCCGCAATGCCTACCATTTGGTTAGAATTCGTAAAGGGGATGAATGGAAAACAGCCTTCAAAACCCCCTCTCAGCCATTTTGAGTACCTGGTTATGCCTTTCAGGCTGACCAATGCCCCAGCCATTTTTCAGGCATTAGTGAACAATATCTAAAGGGATTTTCTTAACATTTTTGTTTTCATATATCTGGATGATATACTGATTTACTCCAAGGACAAAGAACAACACCCAAAATATGTCAGAGCAGTGCTTCATAGACTGTTCAGTGTTTCCCCTAGATAACTTGCCATGGCGGGGCGCTCATCTTGTCCGTGATTTTTGTCGGGGGGGTGGGGTGGGGTGGGGTGGTGGAACGGAGACCAGTCCTAAGCTGCGCAGTGCGCTGTTTAAACCAACAGTTTTGGGGGACACAGAGACAGCTGCGTGCTGTTTGCACTGATAGTTTTAGAGCAGGGTGTGAGCAAAGTATTAACATGGTTACACACAGTCAAATTCGCCCTCCATCCTGGTACCACTCGCATGTTACATCTGACCAAGGAACATTTTTGGTGGCCGAACATGACCAAGGATGTGAAAGCCTTTGTTGCAGCCTGTCCTACCTGTGCAAACAAAAAAATAACAACAAGCCTCCTGCTGGTCTCCTTCCCTTACCATCACCCAGTCGCCCTTGGTCTCACATTGTATTGGATTTTGTTATCGACCTTTCTCCCTCTGCTGGTAAAACCACCATCTGCACCATTAATGATCACTTATCTAAGGTTGCTTATGTCAGTCATCTTCCAAACTTACCATCAGCTTTTGAGACTGCTAAACTTATCACTAACCATATTTTTCGCCTGTCCCCAAAACAACTGTGTGCTTATCTGAATTTGGCTCCCTTGGCTGGCCTTGAAGGCCACCTTCTCTGAGTTCACCTGGCGAACATGTAATCTGATGATCTGCCCCACTCACCCTCCCATCGAGGAATTTCCAACTGATCAACCAGAGGAAACCAGCTGAATAAACATTGTGTCATCATTTCAAGACTCTTGGATTCCCATAGGCGATGTCCTTGGCCATTCCCTGACATCCCTCGAGAATGTTTATGGATCTCGCCGGAGGGAACTGGTTGATTATACCATCCTTATCAGAACTCTTACAGTGTCCTCGAGTGCATCCTTGGAGATTGCTCACTGCTCTCATCGTCCCCCCCCACCCCCACCCCCCCGCGGAATGTCTATGTCACTATGTGCTTGTATGTGCGAGGTGTTTTTTTTTTATCTTCATTTTTCTTCTCAGCCAAGAAGAAAGAGTTTAATAGGAATTTGTTTTGCCTCCAATTCTTACGTGTCCAGGTTCACTACTTTTTTTCTTCTAAACAGATCTCACTTGTAAATGAGTCTTCGAGGCTCAGTGTGATTTATCTGTCTAAATAAAGGTTGAATGAATCGAAGATAACCCTTCAACCTGGTGTCAATATCTACCTTGGGTCGAATACGCCCGGAATACGACAATTCCCAGGTATCCTCAGCCACTGGAATGTCCCTGTTCAAGGCCTCACTGGGCTACTCACCTCCTTTATTCCCTGCCCAAGATGCAGAGGTGTCGGTTCCGTCCGTCAAAAACCATGTTTGCAAGATGTGGCAACAAACCAGAGCAGCCCTTTTCAGGACAGCTGACCAGAATAAACGGTTTGCCGACAGGCACCAATCATCAGCTCCCAGCTATTAGGTAGGTCAGGAGGTATGGCTGTCCACTAAGGACATCTCCCTGAGGGACACTCCCTGTAAACTAGCCCCCAGGTACATCGGTCCGGTCCCCATCACCAAGATGAACAAATTCCAGGTCAGCTTGACCGAAACATGCTCCATGCATCGAAACACATCCGTATACTCACAGGGCGTGTTGAAAAACAAGTTCCCTACTTCTAGAGAAACTTGAAAACAGACGTGTTCAAGTTGAACTTTTGAAATGAATGAAACATTTATAAATGAATGAATTGTGATGTAACAGGGAATGATTTTAGTTGGACATAGAAAACCTCCAACAGCTGCAGTGAACTGACCTCAGAACCTCCAGTCTACAGTTTGGACTCTCCAGTCCAGAACACAGATGCTTCACTCCAGAGTCAGACAGGTCGTTGTCACTCAGGTCTAGTTGTGTCAGATGGGAGGGATTGGACTTCAGAGCTGAGGCCACAACTTCACAGTGAGTCTCTGAGAGTCTAACAGCAGCTCTGTGATGATAGAAAAAGTAAAGTGAGTTGTAATCAAATCAGCCAATCTGTCTGATAAACACAGACTGAAATCATTTGATGACTAAACAGTGATGTCATCATCTGAACATCTGCTCTTCACTTCTGGGCTTCATCCCATCCCATCTGACTGTGTTTGACATGATGCAGTGAATCTCTTGGGTCTCTTTCAGAGTTTCAGACTTTTAGGACAATCTTTGTTTTGCTTTAATCTACAGATGAAGGAGGGAACATGGCGTTACATTTCTGCTTCCATCATGTCCACAGTCTGTCAGTGGATCTGATCCAGAGTCACAATCAAGACGTCTGCTTTAGAAAAACTCTAGGACTCTTTCTAGTTTTCGTTTCAGCTCAGAACATTTGGACTGAGTGGAACTCAGTGAGCAGTTCCAGATGGAAAGATGATCTGTTTGTTTCCTGTTCCTGTCAGCTCCAACTGTTCACGTCCACACGCAGGAAAATGCTGCTGATATCAAGCTTTCAAGGTTCACACCATCTCAGCAGGTTTTGGTGATGGGAGGTTCTTGTTCAGCTAAGGAGAGACATGGGCCATTGCTTCAGTCAAGTAGTCAACACATGAAGTTTAGAGGAAGATTCAAACTATTTTAAACTCACAGCTGCTTAAACTAAAGCTGCATTGCGAATGTTTACTCTGCTTCACTTTGAAATCAGACAAATATTTGACACTTTGACTCCATCTTCTCAACCATCTGAAGCCAAAGAGAACTGCTGGAAAAATCCACCATGTAACCATTGTGAGCTGTGAGATGTTGATGCATACAGAACTTTGTTGTGTCATGTTTTAGCAGCTGCTAGCTCAGTTAGCCTGTTAGCATAACTTCCTGTTTTTCTCCACTGAGTTGTGACTACTGTCTGCTGCAGGTCTGACTCTAGAGCCTGACAAGGACTTCATTCAACCTCACTGCAAAAAGCCTGAACTAGGCCTGTCACAATAACAAATTTTGTTGGGCGATTGTCTCAGAAATTATTGGGATAAACAATAATATTGTTTGAAATTTGACAATAATTAGTATTTATTGTCAAATTTAATAAGAAATGTTTAATTTGTTTTCCATGCAGTATCTTTCTTCAACCACTGGATGGCAGTATAAGACAGTTTGAACTGAAGGATGGATAGTGAAGGAGCGAGCAGCGTGTCTCTTTAAGAAAAAGGGAAGGGAGGACCCTTGACGTGGCGTGGACTGTCTCTCCTTCCTTTAAATGGCAGACACTGTGTGGTTTGAGCTCTTTAGCATAGCATTTTTCACACAAAGCTTTTAATTAAAAAATCAGTAAATAAGTTCTCACCTTCTTTTTGCAGAGAAAAACAACTTTTTAGATGAAGGCATGTGTTTCAATCATAAATTTTGGCGCTTCGACAAGATGGAGATTTTTTTCCCCGAGGTCGACCTGTTAGCTTGTAAATGGACTGTACTTATATAGCACCTTTCTATCTTATAGAGACACTCACAGCGCTTTACACTACAATCTGTGTCCTCATTTACCCATTCACACAGCACTCTACTAGATCTATACAAAGCTAATTGAACAAATCATTCTAAAAAGACTAATCAGTGCTTTACCACATTCATACACCGATGGGACACACATCGGAGGCAACGAGGGGTTCAGTGTCTTGCCCAGGATCACTTCGGCATGTGACTGCTGATGGATTCGAACCCCCAACTCCTGCATTGGAGGACGATTGCTCTAACCACTCAGCCACAGCCGCCTCTTGTAGCTTAGCTGCTTTAAACAATCTAAAAATGTGATTTTTGGACCGTTAAAATGGATTTTAAAGAGAAAAAGGAAAGGGAGGGGTCAGGGAAGAGCACCGGAGTTGAGCAGTGTCTTCAGTAGAAAGAGAGAGACATGAAGAATCGATAAAGCCGATAAATGAAAATGAGGTAGATAATTTTGATTTATCATGCGATTAATTGATTTGTTGTTTATTGCGACAGGCCTAGTCTGAATATGTTTGGAAGAGAAGATGAAAACAGAAAACATCAAATCAGTGGAACTAGTATGTGAATAGATTGACATTGAACACTAGGGGGCAGTAATGATTAGAAATCCACCAGGACTAGGATTAAGACAACAGTTCTGTTCAGGACTAATATTTACAGTGAGCTGTGAACTAGGAGGACTTCATGTGGTTCCTGTCAGACTCTGAGCTCTGTGTGGACACACTTCAGAGAGCAGGGATGGATTTATGTTGTGTTCTTCAAAAGGAACAAAGCAAATCACGTTCAAACTCAATTAAACTTTGATCCACAAAGAAGACAGCAGTGACTTTTTCACTCCAACCTTTAGATAATCTGAATTTTTAACTCTTTGTATCCACATTATTTAAACGTTTTATTTTTAAGATTAAACTGAGCAGATGTTTGTAGACCAAATCCACATCTGTCCACATGAACTAAATGAGAGGAATACGTTTCTAAATTGACCTTTGACCCTTTAAACTTGTTCAGTAATTTCCATGAAAATGTTAAATGTGATGAAGATTAAAAAGTGTTTCTAACTTGTTCCAAACAGAATTAATCAATGGCTCTAATAACTACTACTAATATTTCAAAGTGCTGATCTCCACTAAAGTTGCATTCGGGCCTAAAAATGCGGTCCGACCCGAACTCGACGGATTACCTGTTATTACAGGCCCAAACCTGGGAAAAAAAAGCTTTTACTGCTTTTGTAAGCAAATCAGTTAGACATGATATTTTCAAAACATATTTCAAAGAAAGGAAGATATAAGATTTCTTGTTTCATCAAATAATATTAACATAAAAACAAATAGCCTAAAAATCACTTCTAAAGACAGGCTATTATACAGATGAACAAAAATATTTTAGAGCAAAATTATTTGGAAAAATATAGAACAAGGCTATTGTAATTGAACGCGCTGCTCACTTCGGCTTTTGTACATGCTGCTACTTCCTTCACCACAGATGAGAGCAGGTGCGGAGACTGTTGCGGCTGGTGATAAGCTGATATATCTGAGCTTAACTGAACTTTTTTTTTACGTCTTTCAACCGGCTGGTCAGACCAGCTTTCTCCTCAACAAGTAGATTAAGACAATTTGTGCACTCTTATTTAGTTTGATTTGTGCTGTATGATTTGTAAAACCGCATCAAAGCCCAAGACAGGCCCAGCCCGCACATTATTATGGCCCAGCCCGAATTCCGGGTCGGGCCAGGGTTAGAAATTACAGCTCTAATCTCCACAGACATGATAGTAATGAACACATCTGGACTCACAGAAACTTTCTGCAGTTCCTCACAGCTGGAATCAGTCTCAGTCTTCCCTCATCTGATGTGTTGTACTTCTTCAGGTCCAACTCATCTAGAACCTCCTCTGACATCTGCAACATGTAGGCCAGAGCTGAACACTGGATCTCTGATAGTTTCTCTGATCTGTTCGCTGACTTCAGGAACTCTTGTATCTCCTGATAAACTGAGAGGTCCTGCATCTCCATCAGACACTGGAAGATGTTGATGCTTCTGTCTGGAGACAAGTCATAACTGTTCATCTTCTTCAAGTTGTTGATGATCCTCTGGATGGTTTTTGGACTGGTCTCTGTCTGACCCAGCAGGCCTCCTAAGAGTCTCTGGTTGGACTCCACAGAGACGCCATGAAAGAAGCGAACAAACAGGTCCAGGTGGCCATTTTTACTGTGGAGGGATTTCTTCATGACTCTTTTCAGGAAGTCCTCTAGATATGAGTATCTGTTTTTCTCTCCCAGAAACCTCTCCATTACCTCGATGTTCCTGGTGGTGAAACAGTGGAACATGTAAACTGCAGCCAGAAACTCCTGAACACTCAGATGAACAAAGCAGTAGACTGGTTTCTGGAAGATCAAACACTCTTTTCTGAAGATCTCTGTACAAACTCCTGAGTACACCAAGGCCTCTGTGACATCCAGACCACACTGCTCCAGGTCTTCTTGGTAGAACATGATGTTTCCTTCCTCCAGATGTTCAAACGCCAGCCTCCCCAGCTTCAGAAGAAGTTCCCTGTCAGCCTCTGTCAGCTCTTGTGGACTGGTCTCTAGTCCTTCATGGTACTTGCTTTTCTTCCTGGTTGTCTGAACCAGCAGGAAGTGTGAGTACATGTCAGTCATGGTCTTGGGCAGCTCTCCTCTCTGCTCTCTAGTCAACATGTGGTCCAGAACTGTAGCAGTGATCCAGCAAAAGACTGGAATTCCACACATGATGTGGAGGCTCCTGGAGGTCTTGATGTGGGAGATGATTCTGTAGGACAGCTCTTCATCACTGAACCTCCTCCTGAAGTACTCCTCCTTCTGATTGTCCGTGAAGCCTCGTACTTCTGTTAGCCTGTCCACACATGAAGGAGGGATCTGATTAGCTGCTGAAGGTCTGGAAGTGATCCAGACCAGAGCCGAGGGCAGCAGGTTCCCCTTGATGAGGTTTGTCAGCAGCACGTTGAGCGAGGACTTCTGTGTGACGTCAGAAAGCAGCTGACGGTTGGTAAAATCCAGGTGGAGTCTGCTTTCATCCAGGCCATCAAATATGAAGAGAAGTTTCCAGACAGCCAGCTTCTCTGCTTGGACCTTCTGTAATGTTGGATGGAAAACATGGAGCAACGTGAGAAGACTGTGCTGCTCATCTCTGATCAAGTTCAGCTCTCTGAACGAAAGCACAACCACCACGCTCACATCTTGGTTCTCCAAGCCCTCAGCCCAGTCCAGAGTGAACTTCAGCACCGAGAAGGTTTTTCCAACGCCAGCGACGCCATTGGTCAGAACCACTCTGATGGATCCATGTTGCTCAGGTAAGGCTTTAAAGATGTCCTGGCACCTGATTGGAGTCTCCTGGAGGCTCTTGGTCCTAGAAGCTGTCTCCAGCTGCCTCACCTCATGTTGGGTATTAACCTCTTCACTCTGTCCCTCTGTGATGTAGAGCTCAGTGTAGATCCTGTTGAGGAGGGTTCTACTTCCTGTTTCATCACATCCTTCAGTCACACGTTCACATTTCCTCCTCAGACTGATCCGATGTTTCTCTAAGACCTCCTGCAGACCAACATCTGATGAAAAATGTGATACAGAGCAGATGTGAATGCTGCAGCAGAAACTCCAACATTCTGATTGGTGCTTCAATCTGAAGGATCTTTCTAATGTTCTCAGATCTTCAGTCTGTCACACACAACAATGTGTCTGTATGAAGACAACAGGTGGACAGAAATGTCTTACCTTGGACACAGCTGCTCTGACTGGCTGTCTGCAGTCCACTTCTGCTTCTGGGTCTTTGTCCACACTGGGGACATGAGGAGGGTTCTGATGATGCAGATTGGTCCCAGTATGAGGTGATGCAGCGTCTGCAGAACCATTGTCCACAGCTGGTAGAGATTGGATCCTTCAGGACATTCTGACACAAAGAACAGCAGGACAGCTGCTCCTCCTCACAAACACCACTCCTCTTCCTCCCTCTGCAAAGACATTTACTGATGAAAAAGTGGAACAATAGGAAGTGTTGATCAGATCAGTTCTAACATCTCTGGCTGCTGCTTCACTTTGACTCCAGGATGAGGAGAAAACTGTTGTTCAAATCCATCCACTAGACCCCCCTGAACCATCAGAGACAGGAAGAAGAACCTCACTGATTTTCAGGCTGTGCTCTGAATTATTGCTGCAGGTTATTAAACTAAACTATTGAAGACAATAAAATTCAGTATACATCAGTAACAGCTGTCTTACTTTGTGTCTGAGGGTCCAAGTTCTTCACTGAGGGCTGGAAGGAGTCCTTTGGACATGTCACTCTTCACGAACAGACAGTGGGGTACTGGAATTTCTGCTCTCTGTCTGAGATTCTGAACTCTGAAACACAAACATGTTTTTCTACACATCACATGAATCCCTGAAGAAAACCTCTGAAGAAGCTCTGAAAACAAAAACTGCTGCAGAGACTCTGAAGGTTTAAAGATCCAGAGTGAAACCTTCATGATGATCTGTTAGAGAAATGAAAACTGATGGAATAGCTGATTCTATTTCCTCCCTACTAACCGCCAAAAACAGTGCATAAAGCACTGAATGATCATTCTTATGCATGCGCAGGTCGAGTATTTTATGCCAACATAGTCACAGCAAGGAATTCGGTGTCCCTTGCCCAGACGTGGGTTGCCGGGGCCCCACCCTGGAACCAGGCCTGGGTGAGGGGCTCGTCGGCGAGCGCCTGGTGACCGGGTCTCTACCCATGGAGCCCGTTCGGGCTCAGCCCGAAGGAGCAGCATGGGTTTGCCTTCCTGTGGACCCACCACCTTCTGGGAGGGCCATAAAAGTCGGGTGCATAGTGCTATGGGCAGTGGCCAAAGGCGGGGACCTTGACGCTCTGACCCTGGCTTACCAAAGCTGGCTCTTGGGACATGGAATGTTACCTCTCTGGCAGGGAAGAAGCCTGAGCTTGGGCGTGAGGTTGCGAGGTACTGACTAGATATATGACCCTTTTCCATTAGAACCTGTAGTACCGGTACAGCACAGCTCTACTCTACTCGGTACGGTACAGGTTGTGTTTCCATTATGCTTTCAGTACCGGTTCCAGTGGGCGGGGTTCAAATTGACGTCACCACCTCTCACCAGCTGGTGGCGGTGAAACGCTGAAACTGTTTTCAGTACAGGGTGAGAATTTATTTTGAAGTTGAACGAAGGAACTTCCACGGTGACCAGCGGAACTCGGAGCCGGGGAGATGACGCCCTGCCTGGCCTGGCACTCCGAGACTCCGGGGAGAGGACCGGGGTAGACCAGCTGAGCTCCATCCAGCTTGCTCTGAATTATGTCGTCGGCCACCAAGCACAAAAAACGCCAGCACGTCAGCATTAGACCAAGATGTTGTCATTGTTCTTAAAATCTTTAAAATAAGTCCAGCCGCTGCTCCAGTCCGAGAAATTTCAAATGGCGGATCATTGTTTTGAAAAGTTTCTGAAGGATCCAGTGACTCCGCCCTGACCAATCAGTGACCGACAGTGTTCTGACGTCACCTTTAATACCTCTTCGTTCGGGTTAGTGAGGCTGTCAAGCTGAAGAAGGAATCCTATTGAGCCTTGTTGGCCAGTGGGACTCTGGAGGCAGCTGAGGAGTACCGGAGAGCCAAACGGTGTGCAGCCTTGGCTGTTGCTGAGGCAAAAGTTCAGATGTGGGAGGAGTTCGGTGAGACCTTGGATAGAGACTCTCGGTCAGCTCTAAGGAGATTCTGGCAAACCATCAGGTGGCTGAGGAGAGGAAAGTAGCACTTTACTAACACTGTGTTCAGTGAAGGTGGGGTGCTGTTGACCTCAACCAGTGATGCCGTCGGGAGGTGGAAGGAATACTTCTTGGACCTTCTCAATCCCACCAGCACATATTCCATGCAGGAAGATGAGTCGGGGGACTGTGGGGTTGATCCATCCATAACTGTGGCTGAGGTCGCCGAGGTAGTTAAAAAGCTCCTACGTGGCAGGGCTCTGGGAGTGGATGAAATTCACCCTGATTTTTTTAAGGCTCTGGATGTTGTGGGGCTGTTTTGGTTGACACGCCTTTGCAACATCGCGTGGACATTGGGGGCAGTGTCACTGGATTGGCAGACTGGGGTGGTGGTTCCCCTCTTCAAAAAGGGGGGCCAGAGGGTGTACTCAATTATAGGGGCATCACTCTCCTTAGCCTCCCTGGTAAGGTCTATTCAGGGGTACTGGAGAAGCAAGTCAGATCGTTGGTCAAACCTCAGATCCAGGAGGAACAATGTGGGTTCCGTCTTAACCGTGGAACACTGGATCAGCTCTTTACCCTCACTAGGGTCTTTGAGGGGTCATGGGAGTTTGCCCATCCAGTTTACATGTGTTTTGTGGACTTGGAGAAGGCATTCGACTGTGTTCCTCGGTGTACACTGTGGGGGGTACTCCATGAGTATGGGATTAGAGGCCGTTGTTACAGGCTGTTCAGTCCCTATACAAGCGGTTCGAGAGTTTGGTTCACATTGCCAGCAGTAAATCAGACCCCTTCAGGATGGGAGTTGGACTCCGCCAGGGCTGCCCGTTGTCACTGATTCTGTTCATAACTTTTATGGACAGAATTTCTTGGTGCAGCCAGCTGGCGGAGGGTTTCTGGTTCGGTGGCCTCAGGATTCTATCTCTGCTCTTTGCAGATGATGTGGTCCTGTTGGCCTCATCGTGCTGTGATCTTCAACTCTCACTGGAGTGGTTCGCAGCCGAGTGTGAAGCAGCTGGGATGAGAATCAGCACCTCCAAATCTGAGGCCATGGTCCTCAACCGGAAAAAGGTGGATTGCTCTCTTCAGGTCGAGGGTGGGGTTCTGCCTCAAGTGGAGGAGTTCAAGTATCCCCGGGGTTTGTTCATGAGTGAGGGAAGAATGGAGTGGGAGATTGACAGATGGATTGGTGCAGCATCTGCAGTATTGTGGACTCTGTACTGGTCTGTTGTGGTGAAGAGAGAGCTGAGATGTAAGGCAAAGCTCTCTGTTTACTAGTCGGTTTACATTCCTACCCTCACCTATGGTCATGAGCTCTGGGTAGTGACCGAAAGAATGAGATCGTGGATATAGGCGGTTGAAATGAATTTTCTCCGCAGGGTAGCTGGACTCTCCCTTAGAGACAGGGTGAGAAGTTCAGTTATTCGGGAGAGACTCAGAGTAGAACCACTACCCCTCCACGTCGAGAGGAGCCAGTTGAGGTGGTTCAGGTAAGGGTGCCCCCTGTGCGCCTCCCTAGGGGGGTTCTTTGAGCATGTCCAACTGGGAGGAGACCCCGGGGAAGACCCAGGACACGCTGGGGAGACTGTCTCTCGGTTGGCCTGGAAACGCCTTGGAATCCTCCCAGAAGAGATGGAAGAGGTGGCTGTGGAAAGAGATATCTGCCCCCGCGACGTGACTTTGGAATAAGTAGAAGATAATGGATGGATGGATAGTCACGTGTGACCCCCGGTGACATTGGTGAGTCTATATAAGCATGTGACAATGGTAGCCCAGTCCCTTTCATCTTCTCGCATGCAGGTGGTAAGAGATTAACTTTTTTTGCTTGATGCTGGTAGCCTCGAGACTATGGCCGGAGCTGCGGGACTGTCTCGCACTCCAGAGGCTGTACAAGCTGGTATCCTTTTTAAACAACTGTACGTCAACTGGTAAGTTGTTTTATTTCTGTTGACCTGGCGGTAGTGCATTCGCTAGCTGCATCGGGTTTCCTTATTGACTGGAAGTATGGTGTTTAGCCGTTTTGCCTTTAGTTACATAGAAAGCGCTGCAGCCGCGCTCGTGCTTGCTTTGTTCTCATTTCTGTTGCCGTATCGGCTTATATTTTGTGGGTGTAGCTGCCGTGTTCGGCTTTGTCCCACCTCTTATGTCTATTGCAGCCATTTTCGGGCTTGCTTTCTCATATTGTACAACCATGTTGACTTGCTGTTGTTTGTTACATTGCAGATATTGTTGTGCTTGACTTTATTTTGTTACATTGCAGAGGTTTTCGTGCTTGCTTTTCATTTACATTGCTCAGCCGCATTCGGCTTGACTTTGCCTTGTTACATTGCATCCGTGTTTGTGCTTGCTTTTCATTTACATTGCTCAGCCACATTCGGCTTGACTTTACTTTGTTACATTGCATCCGTGTTTGTGCTTGCTTTTCATTTACAGTGTGCAGTCGTGTTCATTTAACTTTATTTTGTTACATTCAGCTGTGCTCTTGCTTGCTTTTCTTTCACATTGTACAGCCGTGTTCGGCTTGACTTTATTTTGTTACATTACAGCCGTTTTTGTGCTTGCATTTTCTTTAAGTTGTGCAGCCATGTTCGGCTTTCCTTGTTTCATTACAGTGCAGCCGTGTTCTTGCTTGCATTTTCCTTTTGAGTTGTGCAGCTGTGTTCTGCTAGCCTCCTTTTATAAATTGCAGCCATGTTCGAGTTGCGTTTTTTACCTGTGGCTCTACGGCAGTCGTAACACTTCTGGCTGCTTTCATAAGCTAGCAGCTGGAGAACCCCTGGTGGTATTTTCTGCTTGACAGGGTTCCCTGGTCCATTGGCACATTGACTTCAGTTTCAAGAGTGGCATTTCACGCTCGACCTTATGCTTCTAGTCCTGTGAGTGGTAAGATGCTAGACGTGCAGTGTTGCAGAGCCTGTTTGTCCCCTCTCCAGTTGGAGGATGGACATGATCTATGCCCCCCTTGTTTGGGGCTGTATCATCTGAGAGAGGCCTCGACGGAAGCAGCCTGCCCCAACTGTTCCGTTCTGCCGTTGTCCCTGCGAGCTGCTCGTTTAGCTGGTTTTGAAGGTGTGAGCCAGCCTTTAAAGCGTGTGGCCCCAGAGGCCTTGGGGCCTCCACAAAAGAGGACCAAGAAGAGCTCCAGGGGCTCAGAGGGACTATCTGGGCAGGTGGCCCATCTCACCTCTGAGCTGGAACAGATGAAGGCACTGCTTGAGTCCCTTAGGGAAGGGGGTAGCACTGGTCTGACTGGGGACCCTGGCCCGAGACAGAACATGAGCTCAGGGGCCTCTGCTTTTGAAGAGGATGAGGCTGGCTCTTGTGTGTCAACTGCCAGTTAGCACACCTCCTCCTGCTCTCAGTCAGAGGAGGACTGTTCCATAGTGGGTGCTTTGAGAACTGCTCTTGCTTGGTTGCAGCGCTTTCTTTCGATGACCTATTGCTAGGTTGTCCTTTATGGTTCCCCCTTCAGCTGAATACATAAAGGAGGTGCATGACTGCTGGGCGGATACTAAGGCTTTCCCAAACAAATCTCTGCCATTTCCCAGCATGCAAGGCACTCATGGATTTGGGCACACCATTCAGTGGTAAGAAGTATACTGGTACCATTGTAAAGCTACAGGAAGAATTTGATCACAGGTTTGCAGACTTCAAGCCACACATGGACTCTTTTCAAATTTTTGCTGACTGGAAGATGTCCTCCACCCCTCCCCCCCCCCCCCCCAAGCCCCGTACTTCAGATGGAGCTAACTGACCTGCAGTACAACTCTGAACACAAAGCCAAGTTCAAGGAGGTTAGGGGAAAAACAGATGAGCTTGGGACAAATTTTGAGAGAAATGCCCCCCACCTTCCCTGAGATTCCCAAGATGTTCAAGTGGATCATGTGCCTTTTTGGCAGCACCCATCTGTGTGAAAAACTCTTCTCTACAATGAACTTTAACAAGTCAAAATTTAGATCCAAACTTATACATAGTTCCCATGTGACGTCACATCAGGGGCATTTCCAGTACGTCCTCC